TGGGGGAGGTTCCAATCATGAGTTTGAATATAATAAAAGTTCTAGATTTATGAGTTCTTCTAACCTTCTCTAGGATTTAAGTGCTTATTTAAAAAGCTTACAAGTAGAAGAATCCATGAGATTTGTAATTGATGATGCTTGGCTCTACCATAAAAGTGTTCTATTTGATGCATGTTGTAGGGATACTTGGACAAAATGGATGCATGGTCAATTTTTTGTAATTTTTTTGTCATGTGAAATTTTGGACTATTTTATTGGCAAAATCAAATTGGACTTGCAAGTTTCATTGCTTGGTATATCTAAGAGAGATTTTGTTGTACTTATCGAAGTAGACATAAATTTTGTTGGGATGATGATGTTCATATGCTTTAAAGGGGTGTATTTATACCTATTAGGCTTAATAGGATTAAGTGAAGACATGATCATTATCTTGTGTTATTCCTACTATTTTTTCTAGTTGGTGGATGTCATTTACTAATGCGCGTCTTTCATTTCTTGCAAGGTCAAAATTCGATGACGAATTTCCTCAAGAATAGGGGAATGATAGAATCCTATGAAGCTCAGCTATATTCAAGTACAAGGATAAAACTTTAGAATCTCTAATAAGGTAATTAAAATAATCTCAAGGTAAAGAGTAGCAAAACAAGGTCATTGGACTTCAAGTGCAAATAAAAAATATGTCAATTTGGAGGAAGCGCTTAATGCTAAAGGATATGAATTAGCTGGGTGTTATAATTATTTTATAAACCAATTTCAATTCCAATAAGAGGTGGATTGGACCTCGAAAGCAGCCTTTGTAGGATGTCCAAATCAGTCCACTTTTGGGCCAATTTGGTACCTAAAATGTGCCCAAACTTGTCGCCCAAGGAGCATCACATAGAGCCACATTTTTAGCCATTAATTTGAGCTTAATTCTGCACAAGAAGACCTCAAGAGTGCCCTACATCAGACAAGGAAAGGCTCTTACTTGCCGCCCAAGCTTAGAGAGGAAAAGTCAAACTTTCCTTATTCTTTCCCTAGTTTGTTATGAAATTATTTCTGTAATGACCCGACCGGTCATTTTGGGAAGTAGCGTCTCATTCAGCGGCTTAAGGTCTCGAGAAGCTTTGTAATGTGTATTATGATCTGCGTGTGTGGTAGAGATTAGTTTTCAGATGATTTGGGATTTAATTGAAAGAACAATTCTTATTTTTGAAGCTTAAATGAAAAGAGTTGACCGGAGTTTGATCTTTGAGAAAATGACTCCGGAATAGAATTTTGATGATTTCAACATCTTCGTATGGTGATTTTGGACTTAGGCGTGTGTCCGAATTTGGATTTGGAGGTCCATAGGGTAATTTGAAGCATTTCGGAAAAAATTGGAAGGTTGAGGTTTTAGAAGGTTGAAAGGTTTGACTGAGAGTTGACCTTGGTGATATCGGGGTTGGAATGTGATTCCGAGAGTTGGATTAGCTCCGTTATATCATTTGAAACTTGTGTGCAAAATTTAACGTCATTCCGGGTTGATTTGATATGTTTCGGCGTGAGTTTTGGAAGTTGGAAGATTTGAAAGTTCATAAGTTCGATTCGTGGTGCGATTCATAGTTTTGACGTTGTTTGATGTGATTTGAGGCCTCAATTAAGTCCGTATCGTGATTTAGGACGTATTGGTATATTTGGTTGAGGTCCCGGGGGCCTCGGGTGGATTTCGGATGGTTAACGGGTAGGATTTTTGGACTTTAGAAATGCTGAGGAGTTCTAGATTGGTGCCATCGCACCTGCGATGGATTTGATCGCAGGTGCGCAGTCGCATAAGCGAGGAAAGAGCCGCAGAAGCGGCTGGGAAGGATCAGGGTAGAGGTCGCAGTACGATGTTATTTTCCGCACCTGCGTGATCGCGGAAGCGGTGCCTGGGGACGCAGAAGCGAGGTTAGCACAGAAGCGCATTTGCAGCTCGCACCTACGTTTGTGCAGAAGCAGACTTTGTGCCGCAAGTGCAATGGTATCAACTGGTAGTGGACTCCGCAGAACTGAGGCTTGTGTCGTAGAAGCGACATCGCAGGCGCACAAATTGTTTTGCAGGTGTGATTGTGGGCAGAAACATAAAGGATCGAAGTTAGTCATTTTTCATTATTTTGGTTGATTTGGAATCCTCGGTTTTGGGCGATTCTGGAGGGATTCTTCATGAGTTTGGTTTGGGTAAGTATTCTATATCCGAAATTGGTTGTATTTCATGATTATATGGTTATTTTCATCATTTATTAGTAAATCAAATGGAAGAAATTGAGAAATTTGCATAATCTTTCAAAAATGTAAAATGGAGATTTGAAGGGCGATTCATTATCGGAATTTGGTAATTCTTGTGTGGTTGGACTCGTTATCGAATGGGTGTTCGGATTTTATAATTTTGGTCGGGTTCCAAGGTGCGAGCCAGAGGTTTGACTTTTAGTTCTTGTTAAAGATTGAAGCTTTATTATCCGAAATTGTTTTCTATGAGTTTTATTTATGAATTAAAGTTATTTTGGTTAGATTTGAGTCGTCTGGAGGGTGTTTTACTTGAGGAGGTCATTTTAGAGTAACGGTCTAACTTCTTTGAGGTAAGTATCTTGCCTAACTTTGTGGGGAGGGGGGGGGGAGGGGGGGAACTACCCCTTAGGATTTGGGTTCTTGTGCTAATTGTGTCATGTGAAGGCCGAGTACGCGAGGTGACGAGTACGTGCTCAGACTTATTTGTGGAAATTTGACTGTTTGGTACTCTTAGGTTCTTATGTCCATCAAATATGAAGTTGTTTTGTCATGTTAAATTCTCCATTTACTAAATTCACCCTTACATGTCTTAATTGGAATTAATTGCTTCATGTTCTACTCTTATTGCCGATTAAACTCTTATGTGCCTTAACTGAAGTTGTTGCCCCTTTTTTTTATCGTCATGCTATTCTTTCCGTAATTGTTTAACCTTAATTGAAATCATTATTATCTCTTCCGTAATTGCTTATCCTTAATTGAAGGTTGTTATCCCTTTCATTGTTGACGTATTCTTATTTGGGGTTATTAATTCATGATATCTCTTTTGTCGTCGAATTGCACTTTCGTGGAATCATTGTTACACATTACCTCTCCCTTGTTGAACTATTCTTGTTGAGAGTATCATTTCCCTGTTGTGTTTTTCTCTGTGAGTTTGTTCTTCCGTTTCTTTATATTCTGAAGTTCTTGTTCTTGTGTTGCACGAGGTTTCTGTCGTGCAGTTGTTATTGTGTTGCACGAGGTTTTTGCCGTGCGGTTGTTATTGTGTTGCACGAGGTTTCTGCCGTGTGTTTGTTATTGTGTTACACGAGGTTTCTGCCGTGCAGTTGTTATTGTGTTGTACGAGATTTCTACCGTGCGATTGTTATTGATACGTATGCGGTGAGATAAGGTGGGCTTGAAACGCGTGGCTAGTAGGGGAACTACTAGAAGCCATGCGATGTGATAAGGTGGGCTAAAATGCGGGATGCTATTTCGGGAAAATGATTTTCTAAAACTAAATATAAAGGCTCCCGCGGTGATATAAGGAAAATTGTGATTCATTTATGATTTAAGACTACGAGGCGGTACCTCAGGAGTGCTCTTGTTGTCATTTCCCCTTTTCTTTGTACTTATCTTTGATTGTTGTTTAGCATACTATTAATTTTTTTCCTATGTGTTGCACTATTTGCCCAGCTTTGTGTAGCTAATCTTGTTGTGTTGGCCGCTGCTTCAAACTGCATTGCTGCTTCTGTTACACCGTACATTTCATGGTGATCATTGCTTATGTGCCATTCATTGACTCTACTCTTATTTGTTGACTGGAATTATGGTAGAACATTTGCACAAACATACACTTAGTTAAATTACCCATATCGATTTTAAAAGGTGAATCCTAACGACATTAACCATTATACGTACTCTTATCTTCTTGCCTTCTGTGTGAAGATTGTTCTATTGGCACTTGAGTCGTCCGTGCGGTTATGAGTTGTAAGTGGGTACAAGATGCCAAGTGATTAGGGTTCATGAATTGGGACCCGTGAGCTGTGATTATGAGGTTCGGTACCTTGTGGAAATGCTTGAACAGATTTGGTGAGAAAGCGGTTGTTCTTATTGAGTTATTGCTGGTTTTCCCTTTATTTGGTTTCCCCGGACTTAGACTGTGATTAGTTACTCTACAGCATTATTACCTGACTGCTTCCTGTTGAATATTTTTGCTCCGATGCAATTAGATTTTCCCGAATGAGTTTGTCGTACTTTTCGCCAAGCTCTATAGATGTCTCTATTGCTCTTTTCTGTTTTTGTTGTTCCACTGTTGTAGCAAATTTGTCATGTACTCCAGCAATTACATTATTGGTAGCTCTCTAGCATTTTTGTTTGCTACATTAATTGATTCTACAATATTGGAAGTCATTACCATCGACCTTTTCACTTTGGAGTATGCCCTAGACCACCTTCCGTAGCCAATTTCAAACAAGTAAGGCTGCACCCTCGGATCAATTTTGCACATCTATATCATATGGTAGTCAGACTTCTCTATCGTGTAAGCTCTAGCCAAAGTGAAGAAGATATCCTTCAATTGTTTGTGATGTTTCTTAAATGTGCGCTTGACATTCCGCCACAAGTGAAACATGCAAATACAACGTGGAACTTCTTAGTACACAGTTTTTGTGTCATTGAAGATGCTTTCATTTCTATATGAAACTATACACATCCATTCCCTAACACCAAAAGTACCCTTTATCTGGATGAAGAACCACTCCCAAGATTTATTATTCTTTAAATCTACAATTGCATATGCAAGTGGAAGGATTTTTCATGTTTATACAAAGTAGATATTAAGATTCAGGCAATTATACAAATCTTATATACAGTTATACACGAATATACAACTTTATACATACTGCAAATCTTATAAAAACATCAGCTCTAAAATCCTATACACGTTTATACATGAAACTACAATATTATATAAACTGCAGAAATAAGGTAGATGCAGTCAACTCACCGGCTCTATCTTATGTGCAAGCAGTCAATATGGTACCCTTATATGCTGCTTTAAGGAAACTTCCGTCAACAACCATTATCGGCCTGCAATTTTTCCAACCCTTGATAGATGCATATAGCGAAACATATGCGTAAAGAAAGCATCCATATTCTGATTTGTGCAACTTTGTAATCGTTCCTGGATTTGTATGCTCCAACATATACAAATACCTCGGCAACTCCTTATATGAATCGCTCGGATTCCCTCTTATTATTGCCATTGCTATCTCTTTAGCTCTCCATACTTTCATGTAGCTCACTTTAATCCCGTGTTGCTTTTGTATGTCCTCTATTATATCATTTGGGGTGTAAACTTTTTTTGGATTAACATACTTGTCCTTGACTATACTAGCAACTACACCTGAAGTAGCTTGACGTTGTGCTAAGTATCTTTCACCATAGCCGCATGTGTGATTATTATTATAACTTCTCACCTTGAATATGTTTGCCTTGTAAACGGCAGAAGATTTGAAACTCCAAACACAATTGTCATCCACACACATAAGGTGATACCTAGGATTAAAGATCATTCAACTTCTAAATACACTTGTATACAAAAATATAACTAGATATATACTAATTTTAATACCTCTATACAAATATATACTACTTTATATATATTTATACATATATATAGCAGAATATACAACTATTGCCATACATTATTGCGCTTGATCTCTTCACCTTGAATTGGAACCTCTCGCGTACAACCGAGTTTTTCATTACACTGACAACTGTCTCTCTATCTTTATAAACTTGATCCTCCTCAACCAATTTGTTTAACATATTATCTATTATACCATAATCGGTATTTTCAATAAATTCGATATCAGGCATAATCTCAATGCTATAAATTGTGGATGCATCTTCAATATCATTTACACATTTGCCTTTATCTATACAAATGGAACTTGTAGCAACCAAACACCTGGAACTTGTAGCAACCAAACAATTATCATAAATCTCTTTCACAGTCACATACAACGAGTACTCAGTGAAATCCAACCTTTTCTTCTTTAATTCAATATACACCCGAACATCAGTATCGTTGTAAATCAGGATCGATGGCAAACCATCCTTTGGGAGAAACTTAATCTATAATGTATTTAACTCAGAATCAACTATAATCTGTTTCGAAATTACTTCAACTAAATTGTTGTAGCCGAATGTAGACTCGATTATTACACAATCGCCGACGAAAATGATAAATTTATTGTCATCCCATTCACCACTATGACGAACGTAAACTGGATAAAGCTCCATCGAACAAAAAATTAAAATCAAAATTGCAGCAAAAATGAAAATCGTGTTGATTGCAACAAAAAAATTTCACTTTTCGTGTTTGATTTGCTGTTAATTCGAGATGAAGAAGAATTTTTAGGTTTTTTGGAGTTGCATTGAGTGTAAAATCGCATTTTTGTAGATTTGGGGAAGAAGAATGTAAAGAATGAGAGAAAAACTCGCTGAAAGAGAGAAAATCCCGCTTCTGAATCCCCAAAAATGGAAATAACGCCCCTTTTTCGGATATGAGCCTATTATTTTTGGGCTACTCCGTTGTAAATTGAAATATGAGCTATAAAATTAAAAAATAAGAAGCCCAATTATTTTTATGTGAAATTTTTCCGCTTTCAAATACCATTTCACTTGAATTTTTTTTTCACTTTTTTTTTTAGAATTTTACAATTCTTGTGCCCAAACGCCCACAAATAAATCTTACCACATACGTAAACCTTTTTCCCTTTTACTAAGTGAAAATATGATTAAATTACAAACGTAAACCTTTTTCACTTCTAGAAACTGAAAATAGGATTAAATTTGTCATTTTCTTCGCCAATAAATAAAGGCGGATCCTCTTTCTTTCCATTCATTTTGTAGTCGTTAATTTATCGGACTCGCAGAGCAGCTCGAGAAAGGGCGCAACGCTTTCCTTTTTCTCCTTGGATTTTAATCGAAATTGAATTCACCCTTTTCGTTACTTGTTGTCTCTCCCACAAACAGTGGAGTGACATGGCGGATGCTTACTGGAGGTACACCAGCGGTGGGCAGCAGGCGGCGGCTCTTCCTCCTCAACTCGTCGCAAAACGTCCTCGCACCGAATATGGTATCTTAATCATCTCCCGCTTTGTTTTTGTGTCTAAATAATTCGAGATCTCTGCATATTTTTTCTCAACTTAGAGGGTTTGTAAAAGCTAGGGTTTATTCATTTACAACCTTTTTCAGTCAAGAACTTTACCTTTGTGGCTTTTCATGTGTTTGATGAGATAGTTATGGTAGGAATTGGAAGAATACTCACCGAAATGTCCTGGGTATTGCTGAAGTAAGAGTAGGAAATAAAACAAATGGTACTTAGTATTTTGTTATTGGTATCCCTAAAGGGGAAAATGGCCAAAAAATGTGATAGCTATGGCCTATGTTTGGTATCGGAAGCGTACTTGCCAAAAATGATTTAGTTATTGCAAGTACGAGGAGGAAATAGGAAATTTCAGTATTTGCTTATAGTCCATCTAAAGTGGAAAATGGCAAAAAGATCCACAGTTATGTAAGGGATTGGAACAATACTCAAGAGTTCATTGGCATTGCTGGAGTAAGAGGAGGAAATAAAAATTGTAGAATCTGGTTATAGCCCCCCCCTAAAGCGGAAAATGGTCAAAAGATTGACGGGTAAATTAGGGGTTGGAAGAATACTCATTAAGAATGTCTTGCGTATCGCAGAAGCAAGAGGATGAAATAGAAAAAAGTAGTTGTATTGTTTGTAGTCCCCATAAAGCGGGAAATGGCCAAAATAAATCTGGCTCAATACAAGTGCTTGTTCTTTTTTGTGTATATACATTAGATGACCCTTTCAGGTGTATGGGCTTATTTAGGCTTAGGTGATTGAACTTATAATTTTTCTATTGAGAGAAGGTCGCTTGAGATGGTTTGGTTATGTTTTCCATCGCCCTACAGAGCCACCACTTTGTAGGTGTAGAACTATGGTGAGTGAAGGTGTTAAAAGGAGACGGGATAGACCTAAAATCACATGACAGAAAGTTGTCCCAAAAGACCTACAAATCCTTGGAATTAATGCAGACTTAGCTAAAGATAGTGTACAATGGAAGAAAAAGATCCATATAGGTGATTCACACTTACTAGTTAGGAATAGGATTTAAATTTGTTAGAGATATAAAACTTTTTTTCACAATTGTTATTTTATTTTGGCATGATGATGATATGAGTTGAGCTTAAAAAAAAAAATTAGGATTCATATGGCCCTAACTTTGTTTGGGGATGAGGTGTAGTTGTTGTGTTGTTTGTTGTTCTTGTTGACAATCTGTGTAAAAGCAGTTAATTTATGGCGAAACCTCGCAATACAAAGTACGTTGGGACGTGTACATCTAGGGACGGTTACATTGACACATAGTGCGATAAAAAATGAGCAAGAGGTTCGATAGCGTTGCCTTCGGGATCGGAGGGAGTATGAGCAAGGACTCCTGCATTATGAACAATCGGCACCCCAGGTGTGGTGCAAGATAGGAAAGGGTTTCCCCACCATTATGAGGGTAAAAGGAGATATTCCAAGAGAGTTGGATTGGGGAGGTAGTTCTAGAGTAGGCCTTTTTGCGGGATTAGTGTATACCTTAAAAGGAAGGAGGGTTGGAATTGCATGCTATAAAAAACTTCCCCTTAGGGGAAAAAGGGTTAGAGAGATTGGCAACACAAGTCATAAATTGTGGTATTGTTGATGGACAAGAATAAAAAACACGTGATATTATAGTGGAGCCAAGACTTAGGGATAAAGTTGGAGAGGTAAAACAAGTTGGAATATGATTATCTCATTAAGACTTGTATGTGAATAAGACAATCAATGTTACAATAGTTATACTAGAAATACGATTAGATGCAGAATCTGGAACTAAATTTTGAGAAGATATGGACACATTGGTCTAAGAGTTTTGAGGGGACCAACATATTTTTATTAGGAAAGATCTGAATAGTCACGTGAGTAGAGATACTTGGCTTCGCCAAAAGGCCTCATCTCTAAAAGCCCAGCTCGCAGACGACTGATTCGGTCAAGTACACAAGGAATGTGGTTTGGTACCCGAAATGATGAAGGAAAGACTATACTAAAGGTGAAAGACTATACTAGAGGTTGCTTTAACTTATGATTTACTTGTAGCTACACATATCTAAAAGAGAGAAAATCTCACCTAATAATATTTAAGAGTGATAATCATAGTTAAACAAACTTTATCCTTTTTTGAAGACGTGATAGAACAATATATAAGGTCTGCGATATTGTACCAAGAGAAGCTATGGCGTCCTAACATAAATTGGTGGTGTTGGATGTAAAGCAAAAAAGAAGAGTTAGAAAGTTGATGAGTTACAAACAACCGAGATTTCGGTGGTGGGAACTATAAGGCACAAACTAGTTAGCATTTCAAGAAAAAACGATAGAGGAAAAACCGTATGGAAATAGAGACATCATGTGGAAGTAAATGTCAAGTTGCATTAAGAAAGTAGCAAGTGAAGTGTTAGGAGTGTCTAAACGCCTAGGACCTCGACCACAAGATGTGGGTGGTGGAATGCGGAGGTGCAAAGAGCTACTAAAATAAAACGAGAGTTCAGCTGGAAATTACCAAAAACACAAGTTGGAAAAGCCTTTGAAAAGTATAAAAGAGCTAAGAGGAAAGCTAAAAAGTCCATAAGCAAAGCTCGAGAAGAAGCTCTAGATTGCTTGTAACAAAAGTTAGGGATTCAAAAATGGGAGAAACAAATGTATAAACCACTCGAGAGAGAAGAGCATAAGGACTTAAGCTAGTTGAAGTGTACTAAAGGCGATTCTAAAAAAGTGTTGTTTGGAGATAATGAGATCACAAGAGAGATAGAGAGGCTATTTTGATCAATTGCTCTCGAATCACTAGGATAACTTTATCAATCTCCATACATCTTTTTCCAATAGAAACTTTAGCTAAACTTGTAGAATTAGGCAAGTAGAAGTAAATGATACCATGAAAATATGCAGATTAGAAAAGTATGTAGTCCATATTTGAAGTGTATTGCATTTGTTGCGAGGTGGTAGGATGTTCCATGAGCGGAGAAAGAGTACATTGATTCTAATATGTAAGAACAAAGGAGATATTCAAAGTTGTGTAAACTATTGTGGCTATGAGCAATACAATAATAATTTAGGAAAGAGTAATAGGACGTAGCCTTAGGACACTACAAGAGTGATAGAGAACCAATTCGATTTATGCCTAATGGATGCACCGGTTTGTAGGACCTATCCAAGAATTTCTAGTGCTAGAGAAACTAAGTTTTACAATATTGGACGGATATGGGTTTAAATGTTCGATTCATATAGCCAATTCCAACTTGCTTAAGATTGATTTGTAGTCATGTTGTATTTATATAGATAAAAAGTACGGAAGTGCAATGATATTATTGGCTTGGTTGTGTTAGCCCACATATGTTGGTACTAAAGATTCGTAAATTGTAACTCTGCATGACCACAAATTGCTTTCACCTAACTAGACCTTTAACTCTTTTCTCGAGGGAAACTAGGATAAAAATCGTGTCAAGTAGCTGGTTTGGTTTCTATTTTGTTATCTTATGCTCATGTTGATAGTTGTTGCACTTCAATTAGCTTCATTTTACTATTCTTTTCTTGTTTGTTTGTGGTCTTATATTACCGGAAAAAAGATATTTCTTTGACACACAATTTAGTGCTTGTTTCTCTCTTTCTGTAATTAATTTCTTTTGGTGTTGCCCTTCGTAGATGTTCCAAGTGGTCCTGAGTTTCCTGGCTATTATGGCCGTGATGATGAAAGGGGAATGCCTCGTGTCATTAGAGACACAGATCCTATAGAAGCATCCTATGAGCGCTACCTCCGTAGTGGGGTAATTCATTTTTATTTTCTTTTGAACGTGTTTCCTCGATACCGTATAGGTCTAATGTATTGGTAAAATTTCCAGCAAATTTCCTCCCATGTTGCCAGTGAGTCTGCAAGATCCATAAATAGTGGAATTAGTGGCCATCCTATTGAAGATCCACGTGTTATGGGGATTGGGGGACCCGACCCGCTGGCTTTAAAAAGCAGAAATGTTGGAATGGTAGGTGGCAGACCAGAAATTTCCCTTCCTCCGGATGCTAGCAGTACATTGTTTGTAGAGGGTTTGCCTGCGGATTGTACAAGAAGAGAGGTGTCACGTATCCTTGTGTGGTCTGCTTCCCTGTTTTATTGTTATGCGTCCCATTCTACTTTTCTCCTTGACTTTTGTTTGCAGATATATTTCGCCCTTTTGTAGGTTACAAAGAAGTAAGGCTGGTACCAAAAGGATCGCGACATGTAAGAATACCTTTTGCATCTTATCTTACTTCAACAACAAGAACAATTACGTCTCATTCCCAAACAAGTTGGGGTCGACAATATGAATCCTCATACATCTTATCTTCGTCCAAAAAAAGAAAAAACCTTTTGCATCTAGCAAGGCCTAGTTCTGTATACTGTTACTTTGAAATTCACTGCATTATCGACTTATGCAGCTCGGAGGCGATCCTTTGATTCTTTGCTTTGTTGATTTCGTGACTCCACTTCATGCAGCTGCTGCAATGGATGCCTTGCAAGGTGAGCTTGATGCACCCTTTTATTNCGCACCCTTCTATTTTGACATACCCATCTGTAGTCTTGTCTCGTGACTGCTAGTAATACAGTTAGCCTTTATATTCTTTCACCTTTTGGAAGCCTGTAGAAACAATTATAAGAATACCTTTTGCATCTTATCTTACTTCAACAACAACAACAGCTATGCCTCAGTCCCAAACAAGTGGGGGTCGGCGATATGAATCCTCATGCATCTTATCTTACTTTGTCCAAAAAAAAAAGAAAAGAAACCTTCTGCATCTATCAAGACCTAGTTCTGTTTACTGTTACTTTGAAATCCACTGCACTATCAACTTATGCAGCCCTGTAGAAACAACTATAAGAATGAGGTTTTCAAAGTTTAAACAAGAGCAAAAACAAATATTTTTTGCTTCTAATTTGCAAAATTAATATCACCTACAATTCTTGGTGGATCAGATTAGTTTAACTTGAGACCAGGAAGAATAGTTTCCGTTTGCAGGCTTGTCAGTCAGCTCAGATTCTTGATTGTGTGTGGTCTTGCATTTAGTAATCCTTAAGAAATGAGGAAGTTAGCCCAAGTGTTGATGTCTCCTTGATGGCCTGCTAGGCTTTTGCCTTCTTTATTTCACTAGATGCGCCATATACCCAGTACTTAATATGTTTTCCAGTATGCAATATAAATACGTCCTTGCCTTTCTTGTGGAACATAAGAGGTTCCAGTGCTCCGTAGGCAAAAGTAGCTTTGTAGCCTAACCTATCAAGGTATTATAGTTTTTATTGTATTGTATTTTGTCATTTTTAGGAGTGAGTAATCCATATGCAATCCTGTCAAATTGCGCCAAAAGTCGTGATTACTTACAAAAACCTCTACAATAGGTTACTCACTCCTAAACTCATACTCTTTTCTTTTCCCTTGGGGATAAGGTTACACTCATACTATTCATTTATGATCCATGAAAGTCTATTCTAAGTAGACTGATATCTCGGCCAAGGAACGATTTCTTTTCCGAGTTTGATTCACCAGGGTCATTCTCTTTTTATTTTACCTGATAATGCTGGTTCCTCCCTCTTGGTTTCAATTTCTCCTTATTCTTTCCAGCCTTCCGAATGCCCATACTGACTTGTCTCCTCTATAAGTTATTTTCTTATATATTTGAGGAATACTTGTACATGTGAAGTGACACTGACACCACTTCCTGAATTTGTGGTGATCCTTGGGCGTTAGGCCATTTTTGGGCATCTTCGGTAGATCTTTCTCAAACGTATTTCACCTCCTCAAAAAGTGCAGATCGTGGTTCTACCAGTTCTTTTTACTTTTTTTGTGTGGTAATAAACTGTGAAATATTACCATTAACCAACAAAGTATGTACAAACTAAAGAGCATCCAGAATTACAGCAACCTTCTAGGAAGATTACCGTAATTGATGGACCCCAAAACAGCCAGATAGCCTCTCATTCTAGTTACATAAACTATGTATCCAGTATTGACATTTCTTTGCTCTTTTCGAGTTTCCTATCCAATCTATTCTACCCCTAATTTCCTTTTGTATTTATGCTATTACAAAACTGGTATTTACACAAGAATTCCTGAAAATCCTCCAATTTCTAGCTTGCCAAGTGTAATAGATCATTGCTCCCCATACAGCGCTCACTGTCTCTTTTTTAAACTGAGTCCGTATCCTCCTTTTCAGCCACTGTATACTCTGTTTTGCATCGGCTTTTACTATACGTACACCAGCCCAAGCCCCTAGTGCATTTCTCACTTCAGAGATCCAACTACAATCAGCAAATAGATGATAGCTTGTTTCAATACTATCTGCTTCACATAAGCACCATTTGTGACTATCCATTGGGTGTATTCAGTCTGTACATCCTCTCCTTAGTAAGTAGCATCTTGATTTGCTAGCCACACTATCATCTGCTGTCTTGGCTGCATAACTGAACTCCATACTAAATCAGCTTCCTTCATTCTTATAATAGTTCCCAGCATAGCTAAATAGCTACTTGTCACTGAGTAATTTCCTTTAGCAGTCAGGCTGTATGTTCCATTTTGGTACCACTCTTGCATCTGACCCTTTAGAGAGTTTAGCTTTTTCCAGTACCAGCAACAATCTTGTGGTGGTATGTGACTCCAAATATCCCCTTTTGCTTTCATATAAACCTGATTTACTCATTTTACCCATAGGACATCTTTCTTTTCTGTCAATTGCCATAATAGTTTTCCCATTGATGCTACATTCCATTTCCTGCAATTCTGTATGTTCAAACCCCCAAATCTCTTAGGGATACAGACTTTGTCCCATGATACCAGTGCAACTTTTCTCCTCTTCAGAGCTCCCCCCATAAGTACTATCTACATTTTCTGTCCACCTCTTTCAATACACTGAGGGAGGATGAATACAGCTCCCCTAAAGTTGTATATAGGGAAAAGCACTGCATTGATAATTTGTAGTCTTTCAGCATAGGGTAAGTGCTTGGAGTATGCTTCATTAATTCTGACTGTAACCTTTTCAACTAGTATAATCAAGTGTAGATCTGTTCTTATCAGTTTAATGTCTAATGTGTGGGCCATCAGCTCACACGATATTAACTCTTTTTACTTTTTGTTGTCAGAGCTCTTGATAAAAACTTCTCCATGTATTCTTTAGAGCTGACATGGGTACCTCATACTGAGTGCTGGTTGTAGAGAATCCTCATTTTTCATCAGATAAACAAAATGCTAAATACTGTGAATATTCTAAAAATTTTAAGGTGGAGCAGAGTTGGAGAGTTTGTAGCTCTGTAAATTACCGTACCTCTTAATTACCTTATGGTGCTGTTTCTGGACAAAGGCCTAGTGCTTATGGATTAGTGTATAAACAGTGTCAGCGCTTCACCAATTGTCAACTTTGGTGGAAGAATGCAACTTTAACTATCATTTTCTAATATTACGAAGTCTAACAGCTAACTGATAAAAGGTAAAGAAAGATCATGATTCCGTGCTGAAGGATCTGACATAATATTGGGTGGCGGATATGTGTTCCATTTGATGTATGGCCTTGCTCTTCTGCTCTAGGCTTTTTCTCCTTTTTCAATTGCTGTTTCTTTTTCTTTTTCCTTTTTCTTGCACTGCTCTTTTGGCGTTCCTGAGGATTCATATGGTGGGTCACAACTATTTTGGGGTTGAGTTAATTGATTGATTGTTTGCTCTTTTGGCATTCCCTTTAGGCACCATTGATTATGCATAGCTTGTCATTGTAAGGCCTTTTGGTTTGTTACAGACCCAATTTCTGGCTTGTCAACTATTCTTTAATTTTGCCAAAAGTCAAAAGAGGTAATGGTGCTATAGAATTCTAATTAAGATGAGTTATTGTGCAGTGGGTTGTAATTTAGTTATTGGCTTGTGGAATTATCCTCCAAACCAGTTGCCATGAAATCAATAAATTTCTGGAACTGACAAGAGGAAAAAAAAGGGGAAAAGATGGTGATTTTTCGTGAGTCTTAAAGTTTTAAGTCTGATTCTATCTACCCAAAGTCAACACATGAGCAATGATTGAAATTGGCACTGCTTGCTTAATAATTTGGGGAATGTTACAGGAGATTACATAAACTCCAAATTTTGACTCCTCTGAGGACCAAGACTTTGTTTATGCATTCTATTAACTTTTAACTTCTTATTTACAAAAAAAAAATTAAATCTTTTGAGTCTTTTGGTAAGAGACAATTTTAATGGGGGACAGCTTGTAGATGGTTTGTGGGAAGAAGCCATTTTATATACGTTGAGTGTGATGATCCTTCAGGTAAATGTTATATGCACTGAACAAGATTAGTTTATCTCGGTGTTGCTGTCTCCGAGGCTCAATCTTAGAACTCAGGCTTACTCCTCCCTCCCCTACCACCTCTTCTGTAGCTCTTTCATCTTATTTCATGTTGTGAATTGCATGTTAAGATCTTGGCCTTGGCAATTTAAGGGGCACTAAACTTTCATAAAAGTTGAAGGACGTTTGCAGACTGCACTATTGCGCAGCTCTGCATGTGCCTTTGACTCTGCCATAGCCTGCTGAATACCTGTTTCGTCAGTTGTGGTTGCATAACGAAACTTTTTTTGCTTGAAAGCAACTCCATGTCCAATTGTTGGGCAATGTATGCACAACATCACATTTTTGCTGGTGTATATTTGAGTCGTCAGTGAAAGAGAAATTTGTTGCGCTGGTGAGGTAGTAAAACTAAATCTTGCAGGTTATAAATTCGATGAGCATGACCGTGATTCGGTCAGCTTAAGGCTGCAATATGCTCGCAATCCTGGTGCGAGGTCAGGTGGTGGGAATCGCGGAAAACGTTAGAACTTATGCGTCTTTACAGGTGACATGCTAGACTTCCATGCGCTTGACCCTTTATTATCGATGGCCATAACATATGCTAGAAATTCATAGATCAAACTAAATTGTGGAACTATACTTCTGTGTAGGACTTGCCCAAGTTTGGAGATTTATGATACTTAGAGACGTTATGCCGGCTTTGCAGTTTCGTGCGCGATGTGTTTCTCTGATCGGGGGCTTTCGTTAGGACCAGCTTGAAATTGCTGGGTTTTCTTTATCCGGGGGAGGAAGTGATAGTTGCGATAAAGCGTTTAGCTTTCGTTTCAACCTCAATTTTCTGCCTCGACTTTACTGGACCCACGCGTTGTTAAATTTCATATCTGGACAGACAAGAGATGATATTGCTTGAATCTTGCGTTTAAGATGTTACAATGTACGTGTAATGTTAAGTGGAGTTGCTGCATAGCAGTTCTAAAAGTTGGTTGTTCGATCATGCCATGAATTGTTTGAATTCATTTTTAAATTCACTAAACCTCTTGTGATTTAGTAGACATTTCAGGGTGTTGTATGATGGGCATTAACATCTGCTCTGTTCATGAAAGAACTGGGAGGCTTTTCGTGTCAATTTTGGTTGTTTGCTTGCTATCATTTAGGCGTGGAGACTTTTAAGGTTGATGGGAACAAAGAAAATACAATACTTGCTAGAAGTGTCTGTGCCTTCCCATGGTTCCATCTGTTGATGGTTTTGGTTACCTTCTCCACGTAAAACTTTTCTAATAGGTACTAGAGGAACTATTTCTATTATTTTTTTTGGGGNTTGTACTTATAGAGTCCCATGTTCCTTCAATGTGTGTATTCCATCCTTTTGTGGTTGGTATATGACTCCGAGTCTGAGGGCAAAAAAGTAGTCGACTTTCCTAGTATTATCATCAATGCATGCCATCAATATCACTGTGATTGCTGTTTGTTTATTTTCTTCATTCTTGATATTTGTAGAGTCAGTTTAATCTAACTTCATTGTCAACGGTTGACGTACTTGGTTATGTGGATCAAGTTGAGTTGTTTTATGTGGATTCATCACATGGTTAAAAGTTTGCGTGGCATGCTCATTCTATTACAAATCAATGGACTGCCTTTATTTTTGATAAATCTTTATTTTTAGTGGGTATGGAAAAATCTTTGGTATGGAGCGCTTCCCCCGAATGAGGTCCTATGCGGCGCGAATACGGATATAGTCGGGCTCCAATGCGGGTACCGGATACCGGGTGGGAAACCAAAAAAAATAGTCAAACTTCCCGCAATATTTGACTACTGAATGGGTTTTTGCTGGAAACAAACCGTGAATGAAATACTTAACAAAAAGAAAATACATGGGCAGATGACTTTGGATAATCTTTCAAGGAAAAGGACTCTGTAAAACGTACTCCATGAAGGTTTTAGAGCCATTATCTGGTTGTCTATCATGTGCTTAGATTTTGTGTGATGTTCTTTGATCATTTATATTTCCTTTTTATTTTTGGAAAATCCAAATAAATTATGAAAAATGAAAAATAAAAGGAAAGGAGGTAAGCATCACCCAGCAATAACTACATATTTTATTTATTTATTAAAGAAGTGTTAAAGACGGCTAAAGTATTTTCTTAGTAGGAAATTCTGGATCGAACAGTTTTCAAAATGCATAAGCCCACTTTGACTAGTATTTTAATCTGCCTAATATAATATAAGAAGCGAGGGTCGTGACGGTCTTTTTCAATCGAGTTGTCTAAAAGCACGTCAATGTATATTATATTGTCACCTGCTAATTCCGATGGGCTAATAAAAGTCTTAAAATTAGGGGTTTATTACGTATATATACTCCATTTTAAGGGTTTTTCCCCTATGTCTAAAGTAGTGGGTTGGGCTGAAACTGTTGCAAAAGGCTAAATTAACACAAGATCAACCAATTATTATTTTTGTTTTAAAAAAGCTGATACTGACGCCTGATTTCTTGTTGAAGGTCTAGAAGATTTTGCCAGGATTGGTGTTTTGGTGATCTGTTTATGCGACTCACATATCGACTGCTGGTAAGCTTCATTGGAAGAAGTCACTTGGTTTTAGTCCTGCATTGCTTGCCATATAATTTCTTTAAGTAGTTGTTAATTTGACGAAAGTGAAGTTCTTCAAAAGTTATCTTTCTCGAATTCAACCAAGAAAAGAGTCCCAAAATACCTTTGTTTTTTTGGTTGAAAAAATTAAGTGATTTTACATGTTATTACTTAGGAGGTTCTGGTACTGGTTGGTGAATGATTAGAAGCTTAATTATTAAATATCTAGCTATCTAACTTGAGTTGAGACTTGAGAGAAGCCATATTCACACAAGTGGCAGCAGAATGTGATTAAAATTGCTGCCTTCTTAAAGAAAAAAGGTAAGTATTGTTTTGACCTTCTTGCTCTATGTACGTACAACTGCAGATGTTTTTAGCTTTTGGCTGGGCTGGATAATATTTTTCCTCAAGAGAGATGTCGTGGCATGAAAGTTTAATCGTTATTCAGGTACCAGCATGCATGATTATATGAGACTTTTCGATTGACTTTGTATAAAGCACTTCTTGAACCCCGTTGCCACCTCACTAGAATTGTTTATATATGTTTTTTTTTTTTGAACTAAGGAGATTCAATTTCTTCCACCTAGCTCCGCCATTCCATGATGTATGGATTTGGTTTATTTCTTAGAATGATTTTGGAAAACATTTTTGGTGCATGGTCATGTAATAGAGAAGGGAGGGTGGCCTAATGCGGACACATCATAGCCTTTAATTACAGCTTTGCATACTACATTTTCTCTGGTTTTGCTTTCAAATGTTGGATTTGCTTATTCTATCCTTGTGTTGCCACTGCCAATGTAGTTGCTGATTCTAATTTATGTGTTCATCCTTGTAATGAACAACGTAACTTTACAATGCCAAAACTTTTTTTCTTCTTACGTCTCTAATGTTACCGTCCAACGCTTTCTGTTTGATATCTGTAGAATTTTGATAATTTACGCGTAACATATCTTAAGATATATATTTCCCAAGTTAAAGTAAGTGGTACGTACATGTATGTAATCCAGACTAAAAGTTCCTCTACATGTGCTATTGTCAGATTCAATAATGCATCATAAATTACGGATACAATCTCACTGTTAGAACAAATAAGGTAATATGCCATCAGTATATATATATAAACAAGAAGAAGAATCGTTTCCTTAGCAAATTAATAAAGAGGAATGTGCAATGCTACACAGACCATAAAGAGCAAGATTTAGTTTGCACGACATGTCTGGATTCTTAAAAGCCTAGAGTCAGTTTCATAAAATGGGTAAAGACAAATAACAACAATGTATTTGCATCGCATGTTCGAGTTAGTAAAAAAGTTGCTTATTTGACCATTGGAATATATTTTTTTTTAACAAACAGGAACTAGATCTTAGTCTTTTGCAACTAATCAAGTTCTGAGTCGTGCCATCATATTATAATTTAGTTTCTAATGACATTCATTGTCATCCCTGCTCTTCTTTTCATGAAGAGCAGATAATATTTTTTCATAGTCGCAAACCATATAAAGCTGATGTGATATGATCCTTTAGGTTGATGCGGTATCCCAATATGCATAAAATCTTTTCTTTCTTTCGCCAAAAATATACCAATGCTACAAAATGGACTATTGAAGAATTCATTAAAAAGAAAAACAGTCAACCAAGTCTAAAACCAAATTTACAAACATTACTGGATACTTGTTTGAGACATGACATAAAGTGAAAAGCATTAATCATGGGGAAAGTTTAGCGTGTAAGTTGTATTTGTTAATTCATTTCAAAAGGATAATTTTATGCGTTTATATCTTGTTGTTGCTAAGAATTAGCTAATTTTAGTTAAGAATTTGAACTGTTCTATTAAAAAATGACAAAGATTTGCTTTTTCCTCGAGTAGGTATGTAATGTGGTCAACGAGAGAAGTGAATGCAAGAAATCAGTTGGGACAAATAAAGAGGACGGAGGCTGAAGAAGGTAGTATAAGAATGGGCCAAGTACGAAGAAGAAACATACTTACCCGGACGGGGTCAATGATGGGCGATCAGGAAGACCCATGGCCTAGGCTGGTGACCTCCATTGCACTTT